TGTAAATGATGTGTTCCTTTTAGTTGGTCTCGTAGGTCCTTTTCTGTTTTCCATGTCTTATTTGGATTGTCCCAGATGTGTTTGTTTTGCCAAATTCCTTTTTCTAGCCAGTGCCCCCATTTAGGTTCTGACTTTGAAAGTGGGAGGAATTCCCCTTTATCGTTCTTGATGTGTGGGTTGCCGAAGAGGGGTTGCCTGAGGACTTCATCTTTTTGCTCTGGACCTGTTTTGTTCTCGGGGAAGATGGTTCTCCAGGTGTGTAGTATTTGTTCTGTGGGGGATTTGGATTGATTACTGTCTTCGGGTTGGGTCCGTTTCATTTTTGGGAGTGGCCAGGATTTGTTGAATATCCAGTTGTCTGGTGTGATTTAGGACTAGGGATGACCAGTGTAGATTGTCTTGGAGGGCTAGTCATATAATCCATTTAATTTGTAGAGCTTGTATTTGGAGAGATGGGTCTATAAGGCCTAGGCCCCCTTTGCTTTTTGGGCTGGTTACTATCTGCCATGATACCTTGTGGATAAAGTATGGTTTATCCGGGTTTCCTGTCCATAGGAATGCCGCTGATTTTTTCCTCAGTTGGCTCATAAAGTCGGCGGCTGGGAACCAAATAGAGGTAGAATACCACATCATTGCTAAGATCGAGTTGTTTAGTGCTAGTACTCTTCCTAGTAAGGAAGTGTGTGTGGTTTTCCAGGTATGCATTCTGTTCACCATTGATGACAAGAGTGTTGTTGCCGATATAGGGTGGCATCCTTTAAGGTTGAGGTTGATGCCTAGGAATCTAATTGGTGAATCTGGATCTGTCCATTGTAATCCTGTCGGGGTTATCTCTATGGGGGGAGGAGTTTCCGCGGTCCACCATCCTATTGTTTTAGACCAGTTAACTTCCATTTACGAGGCTAGTTGGAATGCTTACATTGCTCTTGTCAGAGCCTGGAAAAATGACGTTGAAGCTCTGAGGAGTACCGTAAAATCGTCCGCGAATAGAAGAGTAGTAGGGATATGGAGGGGTTGATCTCGTTCGTCCCTGACGTTCTCTATTCTCTCGATGGATCTACCCTTTCTCAGGAAGGCAGCGATAGCTTCCATAACAAAAAGAAAGATTGGTGCTGCCAATGGGTCCCCTTGCCTCACCGATCTTGTCATTGGGTAGGGGTTCGAGAGGAAACCATTGACTTGGACGATCCCTTGTGCGTCATTGTAGAGTATTCTTACCCATTTTCGAAAGACTGGGCCAACTCCCATTTTTCCCATGCTTGCCTGCAGAAAGTATTAGTACACTTGGTCGTATGCTTTTTCAAAGTCAAAAAATAGGATAGCTGCAGCGATCCGTTTTTTACTGATTATTTGTGTTGATTCACACAGAGTCATTACGTTGTCTAGAATGTGTCTCCCTGGTATGAACCCTGTTTGGTCTAGGTGAAAACATCCTCCTGTGACTCTGTTTATTCTTGTGGCTAGAAGTTTAGCTAGAATCGTGTATGCTACATTTAGTAGAGAAATGGGTCTGTAGTTTTTTATGTCCTTTCTCTCTCCCTTTTTGTATAGGAGTGAAGTCCGATATATTGTAGTTAAAAAAGAAAAAAAGAAAAAGTGAAGTCCGCCCACGATGTACTTCAGGCATTGCTGCATTACTCACCAAATGAGCAAAATGAGAATGAATCCTCCACTAGAACATGGCTACAGCGCAATATTTTTGTATTTTGTGTATGTGGTTACTGGAGCGACACCCTTCATATTCAAATATGTTGTCCTAGGGCTCGCTGCACTGCTCACCACATGCACAAATGACAGAAAATATGGTGGTGTATCTTCCCATGTTCTAGCGGAAGATTCATTCTCTCATTTTACCTGTTTGGTGAGCAGTGGAATGGCACGAGAAGGCACAAATCATGTGTACCTGGGACAAAAAATATGGCACTGTATCTTGCCATGCTCTAGCCGAAGATTCTTTCCCATTTGGGTTGTTTGGTGAGTGCGGAGTGAGACCCACACGAAACTGTTTTCAAACCTTTTTTATAGGGAAAAAAAGCCAAAACAAATCCTCAAAGCGCACAAATCACGTGGGCCTGGGACCCAAAAAAAGCGGAAGGCCGCGCGAACCAAACAGGATGCAGTGCTGCCACCTCAGCCTGCCCAAAAAAAAAAAATCAAAAGAATGTGCGGCCATGTATCTTCCAATGTTCTAGTGGAACATTCATTCTCGTTTTGCACATTTGTTGAGCAGTACAGGGCCATGGTCTTTTGGAAGCAAAGATGTGGCACTATGTGCTTGTATTCGAACAAACTACACCCCCAACGCAAAACGACAAACCCACACATCCATCCAGTACCCGAATCTTCCCCTGTTCTTCACTGGGTTCATTATCGTTTTGCAGTGATTGCACCCAACGCGTCCTCCAAGCTGCACACTCCGCGAACCGTAAACACTGCCTCAGAAAACGGGAAATGTGCGGCGAACGGGAAAGCAAAGAACAAAATTGCCCTGCCCTGCGCCTGGCTGTGAGACCAAGTTGGAAACGGGTTATTGTCACGCGAGACCCGGGTTATCCTTTAATAAGGAGTATAGATGACAATTAAAGAATGAACCAGAACCAATGTCCGAATCCGCTCCTTGCTGCCAGCCACTAAAGAGGTCCACCATAGCCATCTCATACACCTCCCTCCTCCTTAGTCGAGTAGGTGGCTATGGTGGACTAACGGAGCAAGCTCTGATGTTCAAAGGACAATGCAAAGCTCATGTCTCTCCTCCCATGGCTTCCATGCCTTTCACTACCCTGAAGTCTTTCTTGTTGAAACCAACCCCAACTGGGGCCTTCCATGTGCAGCACCAACCAAGAAGATGAAGATGCAGACCACCATAACCAGGTAAGCACCCCTGTCACTCCCCTCATAGCTGAGCAGCTTTCTCCCCCTACTCCTTCCATGGTGTCTCCTCCTTGGTCCTCTCACAATAGCCAAGGTGAAGGGCCAAGCCGCCTTCGTCCTCCCCAGTGCTGCAATGTCAAGCGCTCGCTCCAGCAGCATGGCTCCCAAACCTCCACACTGCAAATGAGGAAGAGCTCTTTGCTCTTCCTGAAGATATACTGGCCTATTGGCTCTTCGAGTGGTGACTTTCCAGGCCGCGCAGCCTCCCAAGCTACCGGTACTTATTCCGTTTCAGAAGGAACATCATTGCAGTCTGATATCCCTCACTGCAGGCCCTAGACTCAGACTATTGGACCAGTACACATAGACCCTGCCTACCAGACTCTAAAATTCCTTCGGTCTCTAAAGGTGCTACTAACTTTTTATCTTCTTCTGCCTACCTCCCTCCTGCTTGCGTGTTTTCCATCCTACGGGAGCCTGGCCTACTTCTAGGTTCCTCACTGCATCCCCACAAAAGCATGAGTAAGACGTTAGTCCTCCGAAGCAAACATAATCATTTAATGGTCAATCAAGCAACATCCTCAAGAGCGTGCAGAAGAGAAGAGGAAAAAGAAGAAGAAGAGGAAGAGGAAGAGGAAGAAGAAGAAGAAGAAAAATTTGAAGACGAATAAGAAGAAGAAGATGCAGAACTAGTAAAGCCAGAGAGGAAAAATCACACGTCCCAAATTTTCCCGAAACGCGACCGTGTTGGCCGTCAGAATTTTAACGTAAAGCACCGCCAAATACATCGAATAATAGACATGAGGCTTGTGGCACAGCGACCCTACGCTGCGTTTCATCCGGCCTCCACACTGGAATCATCAGGGGTCTTGGTTCGAATCGCGAGGAGGAGGGACTGGACAAATGGTGGACCTGGAATAAGTACTTTCAGAAAAGACTGCCCGAAAGAATGCTGTCGGAAGAACCAAGAGAATCAGAACAAGATGAAGACCAGATTCATCACTACAAGTGGGGGTTCTATTGGTCCTACCGAACATAAAACAAAAGGAACCGGACGTAAGTAACCGTCACAAAAGAATAGAGCCACAATGGAGACCAGATTCATCAGACCAAGATAGGCCTTCCACGGAAGGCTAGAAAAGTCCCGGCAAGCAGAGCAACCGCCACACTAAGTCGCACAGCAAGGAGAAAAGGAGACAGTCAGTTCTTCATCATCCATCTGGCCACCCGCCGGTCCACTACATCGGTCAGACCCCAAGAATCTTTGGGAAAAAGTTTTTTCGAAAAAAGAAGAAACGGATAACAAAAGAAAAAAGAAAAAGCAAAGGATCCTAATCGACTCCTACCCAAACAGTTTCAGCATACCTGTCTCATGCCTTGCCGAAACTCCTCACATGCCCCCCTCCTCAAAGTGTCTTGCCAGTGTTCTCCCCACCCTGTCAAGCACCCAACCCAATCAGTCCATACGCCCCCAAAAGCATGGCCACAGGCAAGTACCAGGCCAAAGTCCTTCTCAGCAGACAAGTACCCAGGCGGGTCCCTCACACACCCAAGCAATCATGCAGTCAGGCAAAAACACGGAAACTCAGCAACCATGCACACACATGTACTCCTATCATAACGTGCAACTGAGCCTTTAAGGCACATGGGGATGTGGGCAGCTGGTGCTCAACCACAATCAACGTGGCCAGCCTTGTACTTGAGAGGCATAGTAAAAGGGGAGCTGCAAGAGCAAATAAAAGGGGTACCCCAAAGGTTCAGGTAAGTAAAGGATCTATTGTGCTCCGTGTTGCTTGCTATAAAGGTAAAACTGTTTCATTTCTGGATTGTCTCAGCTCATGCGTGCTTCATTGTCTGCAATAGAGGTAAAGTTGCTTTGATTTTGGATCTACTCATCTGGGTGGAACAGGGGCTGTTGTGGTGCAAGTCTACAGCACAACTACTTAGAAGTCTCAGCAGAATACGGGAATCTCAGCGAGTCACTCAGTCCAGTGCCAAAAATCTGAAAACAGCAAAGTTCTCAGTCTGTGATTTTGCATGTCATTACAATCGACTGATTGCGACTGTTCTGTGGCACTGTTTTTTCTTGAAGAGCGCTGACCGAAGCCTGTCTGTGGTTCACTATACAGATATTGGGTTGCCCTCCAGAAAATGCCTCTTTCATCTGCAGGCGGAGAGGATTTCGCGAGTGCAGAAAATGGCAGCAAACATTTCTGGCCAAGGTGAGATAAGCTGAGGTGAGCTAAGTAACATCAGGCAAGGCTCTTTTTCCTATTTCTGAGGAGATAGCTTTTCTTCTGTTCCCCTCCCCCGCCACATGTCTCCACCCTGCAAGCTACCCACTGACCACTTGTTATTCTCTGTCATATTTTGGTCACAGGAATATGAATATCGGATATCCACATTCACAACACAGGTATTCTCTTTGCTTGTGGCCATCATATGTGAAAAGTAGGACATAATTAAAGGAGAAAAATGAACGTTACTCTAAGATTTTTTTAAGCAGGAGTGGAAACTGACAAGAGCAGAATGATGGAAAGAGCATGTAATCATGCAAATCATGCACATGATGTAACAGTCTCATGAAATGGAGTAAGACCGTTTTCTCCCATGACAATCACAACACAGCGCCTTGCTCTTTTTTTCTGAATTCAAGGGTAGACTACCAGAGACAGGCTACTGAGCTACTGTCTTCGCCCTCATAGAACACTCGGCCATTATCGCTCTATCTGGACTGAAAGTTGCCTCGAATACAGCTGTAATGACCAGGTGATGGTGCAGGCTGGACCCCACACAGCCAGCAAAAGCATACTGGCCAAAGTGATGCAAGAATTGAGAAAAAAGATGTTTATGGCTGCTGGCCAGGCCTTAGCAGTAGGAATCTGGCCTTATCTTCCCTTCACTATTAAAATCACTAGCGTCACAAATCTGAAATCCAGGCCGTTGTGGTCCTACCGGACAAACGGGCCAGATCGTCGAAGAAATGCAACAAATCTGCGATCTGGGCCGTCAGGTGCTACTGGACTGACGACGCAGATTGTCGAAGAAATGTAACAAATCTTCGATCTGGGCCGTCTGGTGCTACCGGACCGACGGCCTGGATTGAAGCAGTCTTACGATCTTAAGACAGTGCCTGAATCTAGGCCGTTGGCCCGGCACCTTGGGCCCAATGGCCGAGATAGCAGGCAAGTTTGGGTACCTCACGCCGCCTCTGTTCATTGCAATGGGTCATTTCGATCGGTGCCGTTTTCTGTCCAACTTCGCTCCCAGGGTTTTTGAGCTGCTGCTGTTGTCGTTCGTGTTGGGTACCGCCTCCACCGTGTCATGGATCGCCCTCCACCGCACTTGACTCTCTCTCTCTCTCTCTCTCTCTCTCTCTCTCTCTCTCTCTCTCTCTCTCTCTCACACACACACACACACACACAC